GAGTCGGCCCCAACTCATAGTGACCCCTCCTTGGGTTTCCGAGGCAGTATCACTACGGAAGTAGGATTGCCCAACCTTCCTTCCGAGGAGTGGCTGGTGGGTTTGAACCGCCAGCCTTCTGGTTAGCAGTCAAGTGCTTTTAGGCACTATGCTACCAGAGCCTGGGAAACTCAAGGAGTCACTGTGAGTCGGGTACAACTAGACGGCACGTAACAACAACAATTATTCAAAGGTTGACCATTTAAGCCCACTCAAGAGAACTAGCAATCTGTTTCTGAAAAACCAGTCACTGAGAACTCTATGGAACTCAGTTCTGCTCTGACACACATGCAGTCGTTATGAGTCAGAACAAACTCACAGGCAACTGGTAAAGACTGAACTGTCAAAGGACCGAAGTCAGACGCCACCTAGTGGTCTGTGTTGAGTTTGTGTGGTTTGGGTTTTTTTTTTTTTCCCCCCAGAACCAGGGCAGGGAATTTGTTCCTTGCTCAGTTTGTTTCTCTTCTGTTAGTGGAAAATGTCCATCAGCAAACTAACCTTGTAGGTGTGCCTAGAGACCTAGGGAAGAGACAGAAGTAACATGGCCTTCAGAGGAAAGAGGATAGTCTGATTGTGGCGGGGGGGAACCCCAGGTAAGCTGACTTACAGCAGATGGCCCAGCAGGTGGTTTTGAGGTACAGCAGCCCTAGTTTAGGACTAAGATGGAAAAGAAAGGAAACTCACAGGACTGTCTTATCTTTACAGAGGCTGAATTTCTTAGATTTGCTCATCACAAGAAGCAGTGTGACCAGGGAAGGCGTCCCCTTCACATGTCCTCAACTCTTTGTTCATCTGTTCAGCTTCCTTCTTTCAGAGAGGCCCTAAGGACTCTGGTCCTCATTCTAACAATAATCAGTTGATCAGTTTCAACCACCATGCTATTGATATCATCTCTGACCCTTGTTAGATTTAATTGCCCTTCAGGTCTTAGCTTTTAGTTGTCACTTTGAAACTATCTCAAAACCTAATTTATACTAAAGTGGTATTTGCTGATAATATCCAACTTACCTCTTCTGTGAATCTCATTAAATATTAAACAGAAATTTTAGAAGAGGTAACACTTGTGTTGAATATTAAGCAATAAAAAGGAATTAACCTTTTTATGAAAGAGGAAGAAGGGTAATTCCAGTGGGATCAGCATGAGCAGAAGCACGGACCCCTGACATGTCATAGTATTTGCAAGGAAATATCTTACACATACCTTGTTTGAGAGCTTTATATCACAAGATCTTTATAGCCCTAGTCATTGTAGTTTTTGAAGGCTCTAGACCAAAATATATTAGATACATACAAATGTATTCCATATTAAGTACAACTTACATGTATGACTGAGGTTAAGGAGCTCAGTTGCAAGGGCTAAGGCATTTGGCTGCTAACTAAAAGGCTGGTGGTTCAAACCCATTAGCCAGTCCGTGGGAGAAAGAGGAGGTAGTCTGTTTCCGTAAAGATTTACAACCTTGGAATTCCTACAGGGCAGTTCTACGTTGTCCTATAGGGTCACTATGAGTCAGAAACTCAGTGGCAGTGGGATTGGTTTGGTTTTATGAGTGAGGTTGAGCTGTAGTGACTGGTGACCATAATGTTACTTTGTGTATACATTTATTCAGACATTTGTTCATTTCAATTTTCAGGATTTTTTTTTTTTTTTTTTTTTTTTTGGCATGTGCTTTGAAGCCAACAGATTTTTTTTTACTTTTCTCTCAGGTCTATAGTACCTGATGAATAAAACAGTGCAGCATTAAGCAGTTCAGGATTCATGAGTTTAAAATTCAAGATAGAGAGCGAAAAGAGATGAGGGTGAAGGGGCAGCTGGGAGTCAGGGCATGGAGAGTCTCATGTGTCATATAAAGTGACTTGGCCTTTATCATGAGTCATTAAAGAATTTGGGCACAAGAGTGATATAGAGACATGCCTGTCATAGCTCACTCTGGGGATGGTGCAGAAGATGGATTTAAAAAAAAAAAAAAAAAACACTGCTATTGAGTCATATTTGACTCATGGTGACCCCTCCTTGGGTTTCCAAGGCAGTATCACTACAGAAGTAGATTGCCCCATCTTCCTTCTGAGGAGTGGCTGGTGGATTAGAGGGGTCAAAACTGGAGGTAGGATAATCCATTAGAATACTGATGTAGAAGTGAGGCTCTGGACTAGGGCAAAAGTGAGTCATAGAAGGCTAAAGGGGGAAAGCATCCTGTAGTGGAAGGGAACACCGGACTAGACATCAACAGATCTGAATTCCATTCCCAACTTGCCATTAGTGTTTTCAATCTTTGGACCTCAGTTTGCCTGTCTGTATAATGAAGTGGTCCACCATTGGTTACTATTGCTTCATTTGCAAGGACCATAGACAATCAGCAATGTATACTGAGGGATATGCATAAGGATCAGCCATTGGCAAAATTGGGAAGGAGACAATGTTGATCTTTATTTTTCTTATGGAGATTCCCGAAAATATCATGCATCATGACATGCTGTCACCACCCTTGCCAAGTGTGTAGGAGGGCTTCCTACTACTCGGACCTATAGTTTCATTGGTATTCAGCAAAGAATATCATGGACATTATGTCCTGGCCTAGCTGTTAGCATTTTATAAGCCAGGCAGATTTCTGACCATTTTATAAACATTATCCCTTTCAATCTTCACTACAACGCTATGAGATGGGTCCTATTCTTTCTCTTATTTTATAGATGAGAAAACTAAGATCCAGAGAAATTAAGTAAGGGTGCCTGTTGGTAAGAGGTATATATGAGATTCAAACCCAGACCTTCTGCTAAGAGTTCCTACTCTTTAGCAATTGTTCTGCACTGCCTTTCACTTCAGACAACTATTGTAACTAGCAACGTATTTATGTGTTATAATGGAGCAGCTAGAACAAATGTAGGTGTTTTGGCTCCCAGTGCTGCTCTACCAGAAGGTACCACACATAGGTGACTTTAACAAACAGGAGTTTATTCTCTTACAGTTTGGGAGGCTAGAAGTCCAAGTTCAAAGTGCCAGGCTCTGGGGGCTGGGTGAAAGCCCTCAACCTTGAGCTTCAGCTCTTCCTCCTGCTCCCTCCTGAAGCTGGAGGCTTTTCTTCACCCAGGCATCTGCTGGGTGCTGAGGCTGACAAACCCAAGGTCCACAAGCAAAAAGGAATGGTCCCAATATTACCAAACAACATGGCAGGCCATTGATTCAAGTCCAGAAAAACTCCCAAGATTGGCAGAGCATGGCAGGCTGCTGAACAACGACTTGGCTACATGCAGGGTTCAAGCATGCCAAAAAACTAGAGACCTTCCTCAAAGTTGCTTCTTATATATTGAAATAGACCACATCCCTAAAGCAGCTACTCAGCTGCTCCAGTAGATTCTACCATGGTTGATTACCAATCTCATCATCAGGAATAACTACATCCAGCTGTCCAGCCACTCCAAACCAGGCCCAGACAAGCTGATATACAAACCTTAACTACCACAGTAGGGTAGTAGGATCTTCTAAGGAAGGGAATATAGCGTATGCTAAGCATGGAATTTAGAGTCAAGTAGACTATAATTCTACCACCATCGGTTCATTTGTCATACTGTTATTGTTTGCATGTTGATAGGATGCTGGAAACTGTATTGGCTGAGTCATCCATGGTGGACAGGTTTCAGTAGAACTTCCAGACTTGGAAGAAAGGACTGCAGATCTGCTTATGAAAATTAGCTAATGCAAACCTAATGGATCACAGAGTATTGTGCAAGATTCATGTCATAAGGAGGAATCAATGACTGGAGATGGACACCATGTTTGGCAAAGGAGAGGGCCAGTGAAGACGAGGGGAATCCTCAATGACATGAATCAATACAGTGGCCACAACAAGGCTCAGACATAGCCCCAATCATGAAGATGCCATGGGATGGGATAACGCTTTGCTCTGTTATACATAAGGCCATTAAGAGTCATAGCCAACTCGGCGGCAACTAACAACAAACTCAGATTTGTCATCTGGATCCATTAGTTGCTGGCTCTGTGATCTTGGGGCAGTCACTTGCCCTCTCTAAACATCAATTTCCTCATCTGCAAAGCAGAGAGGTCACGTATCACAAAAGGTTATTGTGAAGATTAACATTTTTTTAAATGTTAAAAGTTCCTGAAAGAGTGCATGTCACAAAGTATCATCACCATCACCGTAACACCACCAGCATCACTGTTGTCATTATTGTCATTTTTATTCATAAGGGACCAGCCTGATTCAGGGAAGTTATAAGGTTGAATTCAGAGTAAGGATACCTGAAAACTGCTTCTTCTTATTGTCCTGCATTCATTCCAAGTTGCCAACAATAAGTCCTATAGAACAAACACACTTGGGGAACCCATCTTGAGTGCAAATCCAAACCTTCTTCTACACCTGCTCTGCTTCTTAAGCAACAAAACGTAGAGAAAAATGAAATACAATACCAGGTCCCTGAAGTTTGTGAGTATTTTTAATAGTGACTTATAACCAAAAAACCAAACTCACTGCCGTTGAGTGAATCCAACTCATAGCAACACCTCCTTGGGTTTCCAAGGCAGTATCACTACAGAAGTAGATTGTCCAATTTTCCTTCCAAGGAGTGGCTGGTGGGTTTGACCCTCCAGCCCTCTGGTTAGCAGTCAGATGC